GCAGTTGGTGGAAAGATGCGCTCCAGGTCGTGGCTTTTGCTGCAAGTTTACTGGCTGCCTTCTTTTTTAATGGCACTCGGTCCATAAAGCAGCAGACCAGAAGCTGCAGGTGGAGGAGGTTTGCAGAGTTGCACCAATCCACTGTCAGAAGATTATCACCGACTCTTGTGTGGACTTTTTTCCTGTGCCAGCATGGGTTTACTCTGGGTACTCCGGTTTCCCCCACTCTTTCAATTTTGACTATAAAAGTGCTGAATTGTATTTTAGATGTCTGAGGAACTTAGATTAAAGTTATAAGACGGACAATGCGGATTAGCTGACCTCTACACACTCAAGCAGGTCATAATGGTTATGGACATCAATGATTTCTAAGTCAAGGTTAAAGCACGTTCTGTTTTTCTTTTTTTTTTTTTAAAGAACCTTTGTAACATGTTACAGCCACCTGAGGAGGATTTAAAAAGAGAGTGTAACTACCAGTCGTTACAGTTCCTTATCGATAAGAGAGGCGCTTTCGAAAAGTTTTTACACAAGCACTATGGAACGATGCAGGGAGGGTAGATTATACTTACAAGTTATTAAGATAGCACCTTAAAAACAAATGTTATTAAGTCCTGAAAGGAAGGGCTTCTTATCAGAAGAGAGAGTCGAGCTAGGCACATGTAGAGGGATCGAGTTCGCTGTCTTTCCCGCTACCTCACCTGGCCTACTGGGATGTTTGCGCTGTCAAACTGGGGCCATGGTTCGAATAGGCCCGGATGGCATGTGACATGCGTGTGTTGTGAATGTGCCTGTCGATGAGTTGTTCTTATGTTGTGCTCATAATGAATGATGCCCGTGACTGTCCAGTTTCTTATCACATCTGAACAAAATCACACACATTACCACACAAAACACACACTTATGTACTAACATGAGTTATCGTTGTGTGTCTGTGTGAAATTGCTACTGTGGGCATGAGACCTGTTGTTACAAAATGCTAGTCAGACTTCAGACATTTTTGGTTAAGGTTAGTTTCAGGGTTAGGTTAAGGTTATGGTAAGCCTCCAGGAGATAACTCTAAGTCAATGCACAGCAGTCCAACTCTGTGTGTTTGTGGCTCCAAGTTTGCTTCTTCTGTACAGTCCTTCTTCAAAAGTCACTGCACTGCCCTTTAAAATCAAAATGCCATCACGTACAGTTCCTGGTAATACGCATCAGCAGGTGAATGAACAAATGTAACACATTCTTGTTATTTTACTTGACTTCTTACTCATTTTCCTTTTATAATTACATAAAATCTGATTTGTTCTTGGACAATAGATGAAGCAGAGTATTTAGGAAGGGTTTCGTTCCTAAATTATAAATCATAGAAAATATTAATAGGTAAAAAAGTATGGTTTTATTTTCTGAATCAGCACACGGGATTTGATGTTTACTGCCAGTTGAGTGTAACATAAAGGAGTGGGTAGTTCCATCAGTTTACTATTCATCCATAGTCCCAACACAATTATAAACAGACAAAAGAGATAAAAACCATATACAGGACATTCTGCATTAATTCAGTGCATTTTCACTACAATGCAATAGAGAAAATTTGCACACACAGACACTGTTAGAGTCACACCTGCTTGATTCAGTATCTCTCCTCTCCCACTCTCTTGCCAAATAGTCTCCCAGTCACTTCTAACTCTCAGTCCGGCTGATGGCAGTCCGCCAAATGGAGCCGGCCGACCCATAAAAGCTCCATCCTGTGCCATAAAGCAGAGACTAAAACACACTTAAACCGCGAGTCGACAGAGAAAATGTGTTTTACGTTGTGGTTCAGAACCCTCAGGGCGTGGATACATTAAGGCGTTGATATACGGCTCTGGTGAATTAAAGAGCTTGAGGTGTTTTTGCTCTTTTGCTGCATCAAGCGTCAGCCGAATGGCGAACAAACCTGGCCGACCATTTCTGCAGCACATGAGTTCTTTAGAAATTAGTCCAAAAAACTATTTGCGGTAGATTTCTGCCACAGTGGAGGGCTGAGAGAAATGTTAATAAATCAGGAAGCAAGCTCTGTAAATATGTGTGTAAATATATATTGATGTAGAAAAATGCATAAAACCACTTTCTTTACCCACATTGGAACCATATGATCCATTCAACCGGTTTCGGGGTCAAAATCCTTTATATTCAAAAATCAAATATTGTAAGTATGGCTTAATGTTGTTGCTACTTTACAAAGTATTGAATAAATTATTACAAATATTTAAAGCTACTTCTGTGGGCCCCGCCTTGTGTATAATGACATCATAACCAATTATACAGTCCCAAGTGATATGTAAAGAATTACCTTCAACATGTACTTATGTCTGCAAGGCTTCATGCAAAGATTCTGTGCTGCATTTGCATGCATCTTTGATTATGCAGGTGTATGCAGACACTCAATCAAATGTAAAAAGAATTCGATGAGCGCCAGGGTCTATTTATCATGGCCCTAACACTTAACTACTACTACTAATACAAAATGAGTATGGCTTTAGTGTCTTTTTGAACCTAACTGGAAATGCAGAAACCACAATCACTAGAGACTGGCATACAACATGGTGGATTCATGTTGAATTCACATCATCTGACTGCTTTTGATTATGCATGAATCTTGAAACCACTACCTGTTAGCGAAGAATCCTCTGTTTTAGAGTCCACCTGTATTGTTAGGATAATATTTTAACCGTTTCTGGCTCTTTGCTTCCTGTTTCTGTGACTGTAGGTTCGTTCATGGTGGTGAACGCGTCGGGCCGGGCGTCAGGACAGAAGGCTCACCTTTACATGCCCACCCTGAAAGAGAATGACACACACTGCATTGACTTCCTGTACTCCCTGTCCAGCCGGGACGGAGCCAGCCCCGGCACGCTCAACGTCTATATCAAGGTGTGTGTTTGTGAGTCTGTGTGT